CATTTCATTCCTACTAAGCAAGATTGGCGCGAAAAGTCACTTCCATCAATCAAGTGAGAACAGTTACTTCCATCACTCGCAAAGAAGATTCAGCTGTCAGTCAAAGTCTTGGAATACTCACTTGATCTGCTGCCGTTGAAGAGCATAAGCTAGCTCATTGGCTCCACGCTTAGTTTCAACGAATACAAGCACCAGTGACTCATTTTCTGAAAAATGAAAGTTCTAGCTGATAAAGAAATCTCATGAAGCAGCTAGTGAACTGAAAAATTAAGCGCTCACGATGCAAAATATTGGTGAAGAATTTGAGCTTGGATATAATAAAAAATGGTAATAACCTATACCCTCTCTAGATAGAATATTCAATAGCATCTTGCGTTTGTCGAACTCCTCCACTAATAGAACTTGTTGGTCGATATTTTCTGAGGTAGATCCTACACGTCCTACAGCTAGGAATACGTAGTTTGGCTTTAAAAAGTCCTGCGCGAGTGTCTAAAAAACCAATTTTAAACAATTTCCTCTGTGAAGACTTCACTAACCTGAATTTGCTTAGGGAAAGTAGCACTAAACATGGCGGTTGTGCGCTCTGACTTAGGCGGCATGCCTTGACTAACAATTTTTCGTATCTGAGGTTCAAAACCCATATCTAGCATACGATCTGCTTCATCTAGCACTAAATAACGGCATCCAGCTAAGCCAATGTAGCCCTGGAAGATAAAATTCATCTTGGGCTGGGAGGTATGCAGTAAGACGAAAACTGGTAAAGCAACCGCATACCTGGTCTAGAATATCAATGAGGCGACCAGGCGTTGCAATGAGGATGTGACATCCTCCACGCAGGCGATTGATTTGCTCGCGATAGTTTTCACGACCGCCATATAGTATTGCGGTAATGATGTTGGTACGATAACTGAATTTTGCAGCTTCCTGTAAAATAAGGATGAGAAAAACTGAAATCGGAAATCTAGATGAATGGTACCTTGTGTATTTGTATGGCCAATTCTCTAGTAGGAGCAAGAACAAGGGCAGCAGGATAGAAAGTTCGTCGACCCGTGTTTGACATTGA